GAGAATGAGAGAGAGAGAGAGAGAGCACATGAGAGGGGGGAGGGTCAGAGGGAGAAGCAGGCTCCCTGCCGAGCAGGGAGCCCGATGCGGGACTCGATACCGGGACTCCAGGATCATGACCTGAGCCGAAGGCAGTCGCTTAACCAACTGAGCCACCCAGGCGCCCCTAAATACTGTTTTTTAACCTGCTTTGGTTTTTTTTTTCTTATTCATTTACTTTTAGTTACTTTTAGCATAAATATCTCTTGGAGATTCTTCAAAGTCAGTACTGTTGACCTGCCCCATTCTTTTTGTGGCTGCATGATATTCTATACGTGGGATGTGGCATAATTAATTCAACTATTCCATTTTGCTAAATATTTGCGTGGTATTTTCATCAGAGTGAACGTGTGAATATTTCTGTATATGTATCTTGGGGTTCATTTGCAAGTATTTCTGCAGTGAGAGTCCTAGAATTGAAATTTCAGATTTTGGTAAATAGTCAAATTGTCTTTCACAGAGGTTAAGCTGTTGTTTACTCCTACAGCAATGAGACCACTAGTTTCAGTCGCCCTCCCCCAGCAATTGAATTGTGACTAAAGGCAAAACACACACACACACACACACACACACGCTATTTGGAGGGATTGCATGGACATTAAGCAACCTTTTGTGTGCGTGTGCGCGTATCTGTGTGATTGCATGGACATTAAGCAACCTGTGACGTATCTGTGGGAGAGGGCAGAGCCCTAGAGGCACAGGATCCAGAGTGAGGTTGTCCAGCTTTAAATTCCTGCTCTGTTGTTTTCTCGCCTTGTGACATTAGGCAAATTATTTAACCTTTGTGAATCTCTGTTTTCTAGAAAATGAGGATAACAGTCATAAAGTATCTCCCTCACGGGGCTGTTGCAAGAACTAGAGGAGTTAAAACTCACAAAGACCCTTAAATCAGGGCAGAGAAGAGTGCCTGGCTCACAGGAGGGACATTCTATATGTACAAACGTGTAGGAGAAAAGTCTGGAAGGATACACACAGTCAATGGGGTCAGTTCTGGAAAGGGGGATGGGATGGAAGGCAAGTAAAACCGTTTTTTACTCTAAATACTTCTGTAGTGTTTGGGTATTTTACAACAGAAATGTATTTGTATGTCAATTCTGTGTTTTTTGGGGTTTTTTTAATGATAATTTTAAAAAGCAGGAAAGAGAATGTTTTGCTCCCAGAAGCAGGATCCGGTGGCTTTTCAAGATTGCCCAGCCTTGGCATATCTCCTCAGGTGCTCTCTGTTGCTAGTCAGAACCAGGAAGGGACTGGCCCGAGCAACCTCGGGTCCTCCTATGACCTGG